ACGTTCTCAATAATATTTTATAAATAACCAAACACAAACTCAGTAAACTTAATCAAATAATTTCAGAAAAATTTGGACATACCAAACAACTTTTTAGCAACATTTCAGAAAAAATAATTTCTCACCAAATTTCTGAAAATCATGATTTTCGCATAAAACTAAGGGAAAAGTATGTATTATCTTGAAGAACATAAAATTGTGTTATTTTAAGTGAGAGAAAGAGATAAATCATGAAAAAAAGAATGGGTGAATTTTTTTTTAAATATGTGCGTCCCATCTTTTTATAAGAGTGAAATGATATAAAATGTATCGTTTAAAAGGATACACATTTTCTCCTAAAACTAATCGACTAATAAGTTTCAACAAAACAGCTTGTAACTTTCACCTAAAAATAAATGATTAAAGAAGTCTAGCCTCTATCTAGATACAGGCTAGAAGGATAATGACAACTGTAGTTGGAATCAAATATTTAGACGCTTCACAATAACAATATTCAAAGCTTATTATTGCTCATCGAATACCCAAACGCATTCTGTCGTATAGCTTATCTACAAATGAAATTAAAGAGACAAAACATTGCAATAACCAGACCATGCTCGATTGACAAGACTGAAAACAAGAAAAATAAGTAAAAGAAAGAAATTATGGAACATCACACCAATAATTAACAGAAACAAAAGACATTAATTCTCAAATATTTAACTTTGTCAATACAACAAGGGCAATATTTATCTCAAGTTACGTAAGATAGAAAATTATTTCTACACACTCAATCAAAAGGTGGGACCCATCAAGAAAGAGAAAAAAAAAGAAAAATCAAATTAACTCTATTATGAATGTGAGTGTAGGAGAGAGTTTCATTTTCCTATCACATAAGACTATTATTTCCCATACAATAATAATAGGAAAAAAAAAAAGGCAGTAATGGGCCTTTGAACGTACTAAGTTTTTTTTTAAAAAAATTTGACCGGATTAATTTTTTGGTCAAATATATTATCAATGTAAAGCATAACGATGCGGTGATTTGTGTACTGCGTTAAGACGCGACATCTTTGGCAACTATTTTTTTGAAATTTCAGGCGATTAAACTAAGACGCGGTAGTTTGACTACCATTTTTATGTATGACAGACTAGAGCTAACGCGGTTCCCTGCATACCGCGTTCAGTGTGATGGTTTTTGACATTGACAGTTTCTTATATTACGAGTCATACATCTAATGGTTTTATCAAATGAAATGGAAAGGGTTAAAATTCAAGGGGCAGGTGTATACAATCCAAAGAATTGTAATGAAATCTAATATATCAGGTCAAACAAAATTGGGTGCTATATTTATATTTATATTTATTATAATCGTCTGAAATTTTATTAAAGATATTATTAAATTTTTTAAAAGTGCTATATTTATATGAGGAAAGTTATACTTACAACTTTTTTTTTCAACCTCTTACCACCATATCTTAATACCGTTGATTTTCGCCAATCAATGGTTATCACTTATTGTGAATTAATAATTAATTAATGAGTTTAATTTGCGAAAATCATAACCGTTGATTGGCGAAAATCAACGGTATCAAGATATGGTTGTACGAGGTTGTAAAAAAAAAGATTGTAAGTTTAACCTTCCTCTATTTATATTATTTTATTAAAAGTTTAAATTAATTTTCATGTGAACATATTAACTTTGTTGGTGTTGATAATTGTTCACGTAGTGGCGGACTTAAATTTTTTTATTTATGTCTGCATATTTAGGGGTGGGGGTTCAAAGGCGGTGATCCCAAAAAAATATTTTAATCTTTTTTAAATTTATTAAAAAATAAAAGAATATAAACAAAAAATAAAAACTTGAACTTACTACAAAAATAAAGTACTTTTTGGATCCTCAACAAAAACCAAGGGACCCAATTTAATCCTTTAGCAAAAAAAAGTTAACATGTGATCCATCTTAATATCAAAATAAATCCATGTTAGTCTTTTTGAGAGACTAATGTAGGTCTTTTTTGAAATCTAGTGATTCTGGGAACCACGTGAACCATCGGCAGACCTGTAGTGGTGCAACTGTGTACAAGTGTACACACAAATTCTTTGAAAGAAAAAGAGAGTATATTTTGGGTCCTCAACAAAAATTACAGTGCCACATTTAATCTTAGGGAAAAAAAAAGTCGACCCGCGATCCTTCCGAATTCCAAAATTGATCCGGTTAGTCAAAATTGTGGCACTTCTAAAATTCAAAAAAGACCTATTTTAGTCCCTAAAAAAGAATAACATGGGTTTATTTTAGAATTAAGAGGGATCACAGGTCGATTTTTTTCTAAAGGATTAAATTGGGTTCCGTAATTTTTGTTGAGATCCAAAAGATACTTTATTTTTGTAGTAAGTTCAAGTTTTTCGTTTTTGTTTATATTCTTTTATTTTTAATAAATTTAAAATTTTATTTACAATTAATTAAATAAAGTTAATATGTTCACATGAAAATTAATTTAAACTTTTAATTAAATAATATAAATATAGCACTTTTAAAAAATTTAATAATATCTTTAATAAAATTTCAGGAAATTATAATAAATATAAATATAAATATAGCACTCAATTTTTTTTTTGACCATATATATTAGTTTTCATTACAATTCTTTGGATTGTATATACCTGCTCCTTGAATTTTAACCCTTTTCTTTTCATTTGATAAAATCATTAGATGTATGACTTGTAATATAAGAAATTGCCAATGTCAAAAACCGTCACACTGAACGCGGTATGTAGGGAACCATGTTAGCTTTAGTCTGTCATACATAAAAGTAGTAGTCAAACTACCGCGTCTCAGTTAATAAATGCTACAGTGTAATCGCCTGAAATTGCACATAAAACATTGCTAATAATGCCGCGTCTTAATGCGGTAATTACCGCGTCATTATGTATTACATTGATAATATATTTGACCAAAAAATTAATTCGATCAAATTTTTTTAAAACAAAACTTAGTACGGTCAAAAGGCCGCAGTAATATTTACCACAAACATGTCAGCTCTTTTACCTATTTGAGATTTGCCCCCATTTTTTGGTTCAACGTAGGTCGCAGTAATATTTACCACAAACATGTCAGCTCTTTTACCCATTTGAGATTTGCCCCCATTTTTTGGTTCAACGTATTTATTGTGAGGGTCGTTTGAGTGACATGGGGATCAAGTGACAATGAGTGTCGCGACCCTTCATACATCATTTACATATTTTTTTTTTTTTTTTCAATTGAGTGATGTTCCTCCATCATTTATAGCATTGTGCCAAGTGATATAATCTTGTTAGTTCCATTACTGTAAAATTTCGAAATGTCATAACTTTTGACTAGAGTATTTACATTAGATAATTTTTTTATTTCACGTAACTTTTTGAGATCTACGCAATGACACCTCATTTAACATATTTTATCTTCTATTAACATAGTTTAAATTTGCAACAATGTTTATGAAGTTTTACAATAACGAGACTAATGTGCCATTTGGTAAAATCTTGTGAATGCTGAAGAAAGCGTTATTCAATTGAAAAAAAAAAAAAATATGTAAGTGACGCAGGAGAAAGTTCATAACATTATGTGACGTTAGATTCCTCTTATGTCATTAAATAATCCATATTAATAAACAACAAAAATCAAATAACAAATTAATATATAACAATATCAAAAAACCCCAATGGGTCAAATAGCCCAAAAAGGTCTTCTCTAAATATTCTAACCAAATACGACAATATCTTTGTGGGTCTTCTCCTTCCACGTTTCTTTGCAGTGGCGGCAACTTGGGTCTTGGGGAATGTAACTGAGGTGAAGGGTGTCTGACTGAGTGAGACACTTTCTTGATGGAACAAGCCTTAAGCCTTACTTGATATTAACAAAGCAAGGCTCGATAAGTTGTACTTCTTTTATTTTTTATCTTTTTTTTTTTCCAAAACACAAAAATAAAATTAAAAGAGAAAAATATATGATATTCAGTTATTCACAATCTTCACCACTATATAAACCTTCGTTCCTTTACAAATTCTTCCTTACCCCCTCATTTCTTCAATTCTCTCTCTCTTTTTTTTTTTAATCTTCTCTCTAAAGCTCCATACCAAGTAAGTTTTTATTCCTGGCCTGTTTAATTTTTGTGTGTAATATATTAAATATATATAGGTAGTACAGAGTAGTGTAACATATTAATTTAATTAATTATGTTATGTAACATATTAAAATAAAAAATAATTAGTACATAAGTGTACATAATGAATAATTAATTAACTGCGTTTGATGCTTCTTGGACAATTGGTGAGTCTTGCTGCATGATTTGTCAAGAAATTTTACTTCTCTTCGAAAGCAACTCCAAGACTAGGCTCAACTTTAAAATGTGGTGGTTATTATGAGGGAAGTAGTTGAGGATCTTAATTTCAGGATTTTCTTTTGATTGTCTGAATTTCACGAAAGAAACAACATCTTTACAAGAATGCAAGAAAGGTTAACGCTATGTAGAAGAATTTCCTTACCACTATTCTTGCAAGTCCTGGTCATTCAATTTGGGTTAAACTTGGTAAATTGGTGGTCAGAGTAAGGTTGGTTTCAAATTCTATTTGATACTTCTGTTCTAATAAATTAAAATAAAAAAAACAGTGAAAAAATTAAAAGAAAAAAAAAACCCATGACTTCATGACCCATGTCTGTTCTTAAGCTAAAGAAGTGAACTTGAGAGGCTCTAGCATTGATTAAAATAAATGATTGTGTTTTGCATTTTAGAGACATTGCATTGTTGTACAATTTACACCAATAAAATGACTTTTCAATTCAACTAATTGTCTGTTAAAAGAACTTTAAGCTGTCCTACTCATTGAAGTTACATTCATCGTTAATGGCTTGTTTGTAGCATAAAGGGAAATCAATCTGGTGTCTGGGTGCAAAACTTGTTCTTTAATTTTTTGTCATGTCCCTTTCCATAGAAATTTTGTAGCTATTGATTACTATAACTATTAATTACCCTAGGTTTGAAATTTGTTGTTCTTAGGTTTCATTCACTTTTATTACATGGCGTCATCAGAAGATGAGTATGCTGCATTTGAACAGAAAGTTAGTAGGACAGTGTACTTGGACAACCTGTCACCACAGGTCACTGAATCTGTGATTAGAACTGCTTTTGACCAGTTTGCAACTGTTAAAAGTGTTAAGTTCATTCCCAACTTCATTGGACCAAATAATCTGCCACAGTGTGCATTAGTAGAATTGGATTCTGCAAAGAAGGTCAAGGAAGTTATATCAATGATGGGTCATTATCCTTTCATGATGTCTGGGATGCCACGCCCTGTAAGGGCTCGTCCCGCTGTAATGGAAATGTTTGATGATCGGCCAGCAAAACCTAACAGAAAGATTGAGTGCTGTTGGCTAGATCCTAATGACCCTGATTTTGAGGTGGCAAAGGAAATGAAGAAACTTACTCGCAAACATGATGCTGAAATAGCATTCATGCACAAAGTAAGTTCGTTCGTATTAATCAATTACTTTTTTATAGTTCTTATTAATATTACTATTCCGATAATTTCTGCACCTGGCAGAGTAAGCCTCTAGGACTAGATGTTTGGAATATCTGTTTCCCAATGAATATTTATTTGTTTATTTTACCTTTGTTGTTAATGTTATATTTTGGTGTATTTCTAAATGCTTGGTTGTGTTAAGAATATACTTGAATTGTTGAATTTGTTTCAACTTTTTTCTTTAACTGAAGAGCAGTTATCGGTAACATTAAGCAATAAGCATTTTTAGTGTGAGAGTGTGAAAGTTACTAGTAAGTTTTTGGGATCTACTAGTGGAAATGGTGTAGTAACCCAATAAAAAGTGATTCTTAATTTCTTGTGAGCTGTTTGCATACAAACTTTATCAATTGTATGATTATTATAAGGGAAGTTAGGGTGATTTTGATATAACAGAAAATATCAGGTACAAATTTAGAAACTGGGAAAATTTAGGGATGGAAAAAATGGTCTATCCGTATAAAATATACCAGAAACTATGGATGCTGTATTTTTCAAGAAGTTGAAATATGATAGAACTGTTTGACGCATTTGTTGATTCGTTACTAAGCATACAGAATTTGCCTTCCCTGTTATGTTATCTGCTATGTTACTTTAGTTGCTTTGACCTTTCAGTTTGTGGTTAGGATAATTTCTTGGTTTTATTTTCAAGGAAAAAAGATATCACTTACATGTGTAATGTGATGCCAATGTGATATTTATTATCCCTAATATGGCATTGCCCCCATTGAGGGGATATTACTGAAACGAAACATTCATGTGTTTAAAGTGTGCTTGCGGGAGAGTTCAAAAGTGATCTTGTCTTAAAAATGAGCTAGTAAAGCTGAATTTTAGTGAGTTAAGATTATGATGCACTTTAAATTAAATTAAGGATCGATGGTTACACTTACACCCTTGTTCACTTTAGGGAAAAAAAACATCTTTTTACAGAATCCTGTCCCTGTCTGAAAATTGGGTATTATTTTAAATAAAGTACCCTTAACTTTAGTTATATGCAAAAACTGAAAAGAAAGCTCATCTTTATTTTTTTTTTCTGGCTGAAGAACAATTTTTATTTTTATTTTTTGTTACCATGATAGCATGGAGGTTTGAACTTATGATCTCTTTCAAGCACTCTAAACCCTTAACCATTAGCTCACTCCTAGTGATTTAGAACACACTTTTATTTGTATGGAAGACCATCTTCCTCAGTGATCATCTAGTCCCCTTTTCTAGTGTCAAAATGATTCCCAAAGCTGTAAGTCTTTAATGATTATATGTTTCTGTTGGAGATATACTATGAGATTCTAAAGTGTGTGTTTGCGTGCTTTTTTTTATTTAGCTGCAATTAGAAGAAGAAAAGAAGCTTGCAAAGCAGCAGGAAGGCACACTTAAACTGCATTACCAAAAGTTGAAGATGATAGAGGGTATTATGGCTGATAGAACTGCTCATCGTTTGGCACGCGAGTATAATCTGTCTGCTGCAGATAATTGAAGGTTTTTGTTGGACTAACAATTCATGTAAATAACTTTTCTTTTCTGGTTAGGTTTAAGCTCTCTTGTTTTCGAGTATATACTTTTTGCTACATGGACTAACAATCTGTCTGTTGCTACTACTACTACTTCTAATGAAACTCAATTCGTACATGGGATACAATATATACTTTTTGATGCATACCTAAGATCTGTTTTTATTTTGTTTTCTTATGATTCAGAGTAGCGTGTCGGTGGAGATTTAAGTTCTTTTTTATTAGGTAATTTTCTTAAAAGAATCATATTCTTGAATGTACTAATATATCTCTGCATAAAGTAAACTACCATTTTGATTCTTGAAAGATTGGTAAAAGATCAATTTAGTCTTTGAAAGATGGAGAGTGACATCAATTTAGCCACTTTATCAGGGGAGATGACATAATTTATTTTTCTTTCAAGGACTAAATTGATGTTTATACATATTTAGAATTCAAAGTTATCTCTCAACTCGACTTTTTAGAGACCAAACTAGATGTGTACTTTTTTTATTATATTTTTGCTGGTTTTCAGTGAGCATAATTTCAATTTGACCTAATTTGATTGGCCAGAGGAATGTGGACTGATTTTTACGGGTTGATGTTTTTGCTCTTTATGGTAGCGTTTGGTAAACTTGTTAGAGTGGGATGAAATATAAGAGTTCTACTACATGTTTAGTGCATTTTCAATACATAGCAGAACTGGGTTTAGGATTGAAGTATGGTATATTTTGGTTCTACTAAAATTGTGGAACCAAGCGAACATAACATAACTAAGCCTTTACATTATGTTCTGTTTAGTTTGCAATCTTGTTCTTGTTATGTATGAAAGTGGAGTCAGGTAAAAGTCTAAGATTTTAGAGTAAATATTTTTTTAGGTCCTCAACAATTCCTAACAAAAAAAAATTAGTCTCGAGGTCTTTAAGAAATTCAAAATAAATCCATTTAGTTAAAATTGTAGTTCTTCACAAATTTAAAAAAGATCAACATTAGTCCCTCAAAAGGATTAAAATGAGTTCACGTTGAATCTTATAAGGACCGGACCGGACGACTAATTTTTTGTTGTTGTAAGAAACTAAATTAGTGACTGTGTTTTTTGTTAAGGACCCAAAAATGTATTTATTGAAGATTTTATTTATGGAATTTATAGTTGTTCTTTAACCGCAAAAGTTTAAATCTTTTTAGCAGACCCAGTTTGAGTGATTCTGACAGATTAAAAAATAAAAATAAAAAGAGAAGCGCAAAGATCGAAGGAGCAGGAATGAATTTTATTTTGCACTTGAATGAGAAGTATAACTCCCATTATTTATTTATATAGTACAGTAGGCAGAACTTTAATTTTATTCTTTCATGTTTCAAGGGAGTCTTTTGTGGAAGAAATTTGTTTATTTACTCAGAAATTACAATTCTCACGAATATGGTAAAAAATTGACTTTCTTAGAAATGTTACAAAAAAAGCTTTTTGATATGTTAAAATATTCTCAGAAATGTGGGATTAATTTTTCTGATGTTGATTAAAAATATTGTTAGAAATGTGTTAAATTTTTCATTTCCTCATAAATCCAAAAATATCACTCTCCGAGTGATATTGTTTGATAGGGTTAAATTTTGAAAAAAAAAATATATTTTCAATTTTTATTTCCAGAAATTATCTGAAAAACATAAGTAATTTAAATTACCATCTTCGGATTTCTCAAAATTCTAAACAAAAACCCTACGGCAAAAGATAATGTTAGCACTTGCGAATAATAAATTTAAAAAAATGAAGCATTAGCTATTTAGTGGGGTGCACGTTGGGTAGGGACGTGCATGGGTCGAATCGAATCGGATTTTTTGAAAAAATTGAACCGAATTGGTTTAAATGAGTTGGTTCGGAATTGGTTTGGTTCGGTTGGAAACGGTTCGGTTCGGAACCGATTCGGGTCGACCCTCTTTTGAAAAGAAAAAAAATAAAAAATAAAAAATAAAAAAATAAAGTTATAAAAATTAATTTGGTTCGATTTGAAAACGGTTCGGTTCAGAAATGGCTCGGTTCGGTTCAAAATGGTTTGATTCTTAAACTGATTCTAAAACCGGTTCGATTCATAAACTGATTCTTTAAAAACTGGTTTGGTTCATGAAATAATTTTTAAAAATCAATTATTTTAAAGTTTGGTTGAATTCGAGTCAGCTTCGATTCAGTTTTTTTTTTTTTTTAATTATTTTGCACATTTCTAATATTCGGTAGTACAGTATAATAATATGGAATAGAGCTTACTTTGGTCATCTATGTACCTTCTTCAATATAAAAAGGTCCGTGTCTTGAATTGTAAAGATCTCTCTAGATTATAGACTGTACATGATATGACCTTTTTTTTGGCTCAAGCTATCATAGGGTGTGAAGAGAAATGTGAGCATCCCAAGAAAAAGTATGCGCCTATAGATGATAATCATGACATAGGTGTACGTGTATCATATAAGGAACATCACTTAGAAAAAAATGGTACTTCTCAAATTGTTGTAGAAAATAGATAATCCTATTTGGTAAAAAAAAAAAAAAGAAGCTTGTTTTTTCTTGTTAAAAGGTTTTATTTTATTTTATTATTTATCGGTTGATCAATTATCTAACTAGTGTAATTTAAGTTGGATATAAGAACAAAACTCTTTTTACTAAATTTTAACATATTTGTGTTTTTAAAAACTTGATCTCTCAATCACTAATTAAATTAAAACAATCCCTTATAAGTTGATTAGCGTTTTTCTCATACTATAACTTAAAACTCTTATAATGATTCATTAAATGTGGATAATTTTCTTTTAAGTTTCCATGATATGAACACATGCTCTAGCATCTCATTTTATTAAGTTGAAATTTTGACAAGACATTGTTTGTGTGGTCTGAAAAAGAAACATACACATAAACCTTCCCTCTATCCCAAAATCATTGGTCTTCACTTCTAACTAGTGAGTGCTGCGTACAGCAGCTGATTCCAAGTGTCTGGAAGCCCTGCTACACACCAATGGGTACAATCCATGCCTTTGAAACCATTGTAAGAACTAGGATGTGCATCTTTTCTCAACTGTGAGAGAGTTGTAATGTTAAGCAAATGAACAGGCTTGCTTATTGTCTTCAGCACATCTTGCAATACATATGATGCAGGTGGCAATCCAGTCGAGTACGTTGATCCACTTATTGGCTGTGTCTCTTTTGAACAGTTCCTCACTTCTGGCTCATTCCAATCTATGCCACTAATTTATATGCACAAGTAGGGGTTAAAAAATCAAAAGAAAAGAAAGATATATGAACACCAATTAAAAATATTACGTGCTAACAATTATTTAAGCTTTGAATTTAGAGTAATGATCAATACATCAGTTGAAGTTTATGTTAATTATTAGTCATTGACGCCACTTGTATTTAAGGGTTCTAATTTATTAGACATGAAAATGATTAAATATAAGTGAGATCAATAGGAATAAATATTTGGTACTACTGTTGTACCAAAATTCAGTGCATCCCATCAATAGGAGCATTACACATCATAAGAGAGAGAAAAAACTTGGCAGAGAAAAATAAATTTAACTGACATGTAATGTTTCTATTGGTGGGATGTACTGAATCTTTGGTGTAGCACCAAAGATTTATTCCATCAGTAGGTGTAAAATTTCTAGGACTTAGATAACTTTGATGGGTTTGTTTTTCCTCCGTAAGTAACTTTTTTTTTTTCAAAATAAATGTTTATTTGTTTTTTCTCCGTAATGCAATCTCTTCAAAATCTAATTTTCTCCTCAATTCAAAACCCAAATATATATGAATTTTTTTTTTATGTTAACATTTAAATAAATTTTTTATTTAAAAGTTTTTATAACTACTATATCCGAATGCAAAATAATTTTGACTTTCAAAAAAAAAATTATTCAACAAAAAACAATGGATAAAATGTATTTTTTTTAAGTATATCCAAATAACCCTTATGCAGTTATAAGTTGCTCCTCCCCGTAAATTTATTAAAAGAGAATGTTTATATACTTACTTGTAGTGGGAAGGAGAAATTCCTTGAAAAAGAACTTTGGTTTTACTTGGATCTACCACTGCATCTACCCATTTAGCCCAAGTTGTCAAGCCCGTTTTAAAAGCTTCCATTCGATCCATGTCTTTGAGCATCTTGTCCCCTATTTGAATATAATCCCATCTGCAAACATAACAAAATGGCGACGTTACTTGCTAACTATTGTAACAATCACCCTTTTGGGGGGCACTAATTTAATTTGTTTGAAGAATTCCTACGGTTGCTTGGGTCCTCTGCGGTACCACCAGAGCCAAGTGTTGAAAACCAAAACATCCATGTCTTTCCATATGTCTCCACTCTGAAGGGAATCAAGCTTCAAGACTCGTCCAATTTTTTCCTCTTCTATGATGTCAACCAAATATAAAGAATGGAAAATAATCACTGAAACTCCATAGTCCTGCACAAGTATATTGTCATTGCTTGAAACTTTAGTAAAAATATAAATAAATAAATAAATAAATTTATAAGATATTGGACTTTTTATTCTTTCTAAGAAAAATATTTTAAGTGCCCCTATCGCATCCACTGTTAAGTACATTCATTTAATAGAAACAAGACACCAATGTTGATATATTATCATGTCAGTGCTGAGGAGAGAGAAAAATAGAATAGTCGCTAGCGATTTATTTATTAGATACATGTGTCTCATTTTGAATGACAGTAGCACTCATTATTCGATACTCCGGTAGTTTTAAAAATGCTCTCGTTTTGAAAATCACAACCCTTTATTTATATAATTTCTTTTAGGTGGGACAAAGAAACCCACTCCAGGAAAATCATCATGGATGGGCTAAATAATAATCTTGTGAACCCAATATTAGGTCTAAATCCATAATCTTAATACATTTAGTTGATTCTTTTAACTATTGTTGGATTTCACCGCTCACATTTAAATTCTGAACAATGAAATGGCGGCTTATGGGTAGATAACTCACTGACCTGGAATGTGTGGTTAGTGATATAGTCAGTGCCCTGTTGTAATATTTCACTTTGGGGCACAGCAGAATGAAGCAAGCATATAAGTGATTGCCAATGGTTGAGACTAACAGAATCCCCTATAAACATGATCTGCTTCCCCTTTAATTTTGTCAAGAAATCTTTCCCATCAAATCTGCAAAGAGTATTTTGATTACAAAAATGCTATTAAAATTAGGTTTGATGAATAGAAATAAATGAGGATGGCATAATAAGTGCTCAAGAATTCAATAATCTTAACCAAACAAATGCATTTAAGCTCACGGGTTAACAGTCCAAAATGTAAAGTTCTATTGTCCTTTTCCTTGACCCATAATTTTGCTACTTACTATTGTTAGACCTATCGCATGCCAGTTAATCACAGGCAGCTATCACATGCCATTTGGTCCAAGTAGCAAACACCTAGCACTCACGTTGACTTTGGTCACATGTTATTGATATTTAATACAAACATTAATATTAGGCGATGGAGAAAAATTAGGATATTGTTAAACAAAGATTCTTGATATATTCAGTGTATTTAATTTGAGGGTAAAGTATTGACGTTTTATTAATTATAATCAGATAATTATTATGTTTATTAGTGTATTAATAATAAGTTAATACTTAAATTTAGTATACTTTATTTAGGTATACTAATTTCATACAAGAATCTTGAATTTCATTGTTGAAAGCAATATCAATTAACGCATTTGTTATATCACTTCGTGACTAAGCGCTTGAAAAATAATAATAACAATTAATTTTAAAAAATGAAATAAAATTTTGTAAAATAATTAAATTAAAAGTTTAAAAAACACAAAAAAAAATGTTGAATAAAAATAAAATCATGTCTTAAAGAGTAAGAATATAATATAGATTATCTCTCATCTTTAAGAGAGAAGACTAGGAAAAAAGTTACTCTTAAAATTTCCCTTTATATTATACACTAACCAACCACAGCCTAAGCACATGGGTCTATGGGTTTTAACTTTTAATTTAAAATAAATGCCGTGATACATGCTTTCTACCTTATAACTTTTGCGAGATATTAAAAACACTAAAGGCGCCGTTGATAATATATGGAGAGTACAAAAAGTTTAGTCATATCTTAAAATGGTAGATGTATTTATATGGTAACTATATTTAATATCAATAGTGATAAAATACAAGTACAATAAAGTAAAGGAAAATATTGACCTAATATATTATTTCTCCATATTCAACTAATGTGAAATATACGTGATATGGATAATCTCGTGCCAGATACGAGGCCCAGTTGCCCATAAATAACCCAATGGACCCAACAAATAAGGTTTTAAGACTAAGGAAATGCATTGCATATATATCATCTCTCATAGCGACACACGAAATTGTTAGTTTAGGTCTTTAGAGGGCATTTGGTAGAATTTTTTTATTTATTTATCTAGAAAATAATTATTACCGGAATGTATTATTTCCGGAATGTAATGAAAAATATATTTTACTGAAATATTACTGAAAAGGTATTTGGTATGAGCAAATTTTTCTGGAATTTTATAGTTAAATTAAGTGAGTGTGTGTTTGGTTGATTGTTAAATATTAGTGGAAATATGAGGTTATTTTACAAAAATAACCCCACCTTTACCTTCTTTGCTGTGGTTACAGATGGTACAATAACCAAGGTCAATTTTGTCCGCAACAACCAAGATTAATTTCCAGTTGCTCTGGCAAGAAACATTTCCATATAATATATGGAATTTTTTAGCTGGAGATCGTACTCAATTTTTTGAAGAAAACCAAATTCTGCGAAAAATTTTGACCTTGGAAAGTTTTTGTTTTTTAGAAACCAAACGTAACATTTTTATATCCCCGATCATGGTTTTCCAGCAAATATAAAATATTCCTCCTAGCAAACGCGTTGTAAAGTCATCGTAATTAGGGACAATTTGTCTTTGAAGGAGAACTAGAAAACTTAGCCCCCAAAGCCCGTGAAATTTCACACTAATTTTTTTTTTGAAAAATTCAGCCTGGGCGGGCTGATGGGCGGTGGATTTGAGAAACTCAGCCCTTCCTGTCCCAATAGTCGGGCGGGGTGAACCGATCCCATTTTATCACTTGTAATCCTAATAATTTATTGTTATGAGATAGACACTTGATTCTAATTACTTCTATAAGATGTAGCCTACAAATAGACATCTTGCATATGAGATAGCATGCAAGAGCCACTTCTATGCACCAATGAGGTTAAATATTGTCATACTAAGGTGACATAAACAAGATAATCAATCATTATATAATCTATCTTAACCAAAACTCATAACCTATATGCTGATTTGAGTGTCAGAGTGCTTTACAAGTGTCCCCAATTTATCTCGGCCACATCCAGCCTTACATTCCTTATCTTGGAGAGTGTCCCATGAAGTCACATAATAACCCCCGAAATCATCATCTTGCAACACTCATTCTAACAAAGAACCAGACTCCTATTAAATGAGACTCAACCGTGTGTAGTCAAGCCCAACCCATATTGGACTGATCAACATGTAATATGTCGAGTTTTCATAAATACCCATATCGTATCAAATACGATACTCATACTGATAAGTGATAGCTATGTTTACTGACGCCGTATCATGCGTGTGCAAAAAATCACTATCTATCAACATTATCATCGTCATATCTTTTTTTGGTAGATGTCCTAATCATGTCTTCTATCTCAAACTACTCGAGTGATTAAAAATGAACTCACATAAAAGTAAGAATAGATAAGCCAAATCACTGTTTATACACACATTTCATTGAAAATTAAAAGAAATTGAAGAACATATACAGTCAATTTGTACCTTGGTAAGTCACAGTTCTTGGGTTGCCACCTATATTTGAGGTATTGATGATCAGGACGACCATATCTCAAGCAATCGAACTCCATACGAATGTGAGGGCATAATGAAGAGTCATAAAGAGGATAAGAATCATCCCAAACCCAGTTCCCTTCATACATGTTGCATCCTCCATCACTCCCCAAACACACCCATGGACACAGACAAATTGCCACTACAAACAAACCATATATTCCAACACCCATCTTTCTCTCTCTCTTTGTGGGTATCTGTAACGCACAGATGTGTGAATGTCTTATATATAATTCTAGACAGTTGGCCAGATTTGGTAAAAAAATAAAAATAAAATCTGGGTTTGTCTCTGTACATAGGATGTATGGAGAAGGAAGAAAAAAGAGAGAGGCAGTGCTATGAATGTAAAAATTGATGACCAATTGTCTTTATATATAGTTTCTTAATGGGACATCAATTGATGAGATGTTAATTTTGTTTTGTAGCCTGAAATATTGTATACACAGTTTATTGATAGAAAAAGTGAAGCTTTTTATTGACTTGAAGAGGGTTGGTTGGTATATGGCTAGCTAGATGGATTTGATCCTTTAACTAAGTGATCTAGATCTGTTTGTGCCTTTCCTAATATTCTTTCACATGCAACACATGACCAACACCTCACTCAATTAGACCAACTCAATTTGTATTTTATTTTTTATTTATTTGCCTCATTGTTTCATCTCTGTTTCCTTTATTCTCACTTTCTTTTTATATTTGAAAGAGACACAAAGACAATGGATGGACACGGTTGGTATAAAGAAAAACGGAATATGGATTTTGTTGTAGGAATATATAAACGATGCGAATAAAATGTTGAAGAAGGATTCTTTCACAAAATTTTTTTACAAATTTTTGTAAATTATACTATGTACTCTAAAAAAAACATAGCGTAACCTAATGTTCTTCCGAGAGAACTTTTAGAAATAAAAAGTTTATAAATATAACCCTTTCCTACAACGTTGCAACTTATGTTATTTCTTAATATCTTTCGAGCCGACAGAATATAAAATTAGAACGCGTCCAATTTGGAAGGAAAAAGCAAAGGACAAGAATTGAAATAAAATTGATATCATGCAAAGAAACTTGTAATTGTAATAATAATAATAATAATAAAAATAATAATAATAATTATTATTATAAAAAAATTTCCTTGCCTCAATACAAGAGTAAGAATTTATTTACACGCATATACATATAGTAAATTAATAACAATCCTATTTAAGATACATAAACACATATATATAACCCCATTCAATTACCTTATACATATATTAAATTAGTAACCCCATTTAAAAAGATCTATTTTATTTCTTCTTACTTTTTTAGTAATTAAAAAAAATTAATCAATTAATAAATTAAAAGATTTTCCTTCCTAATAACTACTATCATAATAAATTTCATTAATTATATTAACCAAATCTTTATGTCTCTCAAATATTAATATTTTCGCAAAATATAAAAAATAATTTTATTGATTCAATATACTAATTTAATAATATATCATTTTTAAAATATATAAAATTGCTTATCATTAAATCTGCATTCATTATGTTTCACTATATATTTTTTCGGAAAATCATTTTTTATGTTATAGGAGAAGGATTATCTCATGTAATATAGATATATCATACACCAGACCACATGCAAGAGGATAGAGAAAAATAGAGGTGGGATCCACCTCTATTTTGTGCATGTAAGTAGGGGTGTTAACGGGCCGAGCCGAGACGAGCTTTGGTCTTAAAAGGCTAAGCTTGTGTTTAAATGTGTCAGCTTGACCAAGCCTGTTACCTGTTATGAATATAATTTAAGCATGTGGCCTGTCTTATTTACAAAAAATAAAAGCCTTGTTGATCCTGTTAGCCTGTTTAAAAAAATAAGACAATAAAAATTTATCCAAACAAAATATACAATCAACATCACTAGTAATTCCATAAATATTCATAAATTTAATATATATCCAAACATCATAATATAAAACAAAATCATTCAAAAAGTCTGTTTAATTAATAAAATGGGATGAAATGGATTGAGGAGAGAGAGAGGGCTATCACAAGTAGTATAAAAAATATAAAATAAAAATAAAAATTAATATATTAGGCTAGCCTGAGAGGCTCTAAGGCCGAACTTTTGAATAAGAGCCTGAGACCTTTTTATTAAACGAGCTTTTATACAAGTCCAAGCCTTGTTCCAACAATCAATTTTAAACATGTAAGCTCAGGCCTTCACGAGCCGAGTCAAAGGCCCCTGTCTCGTTTAGCACCCCTACATGTAAGAACTTGGCTTTTCTCATGTAAAATGAGAGAAATATAATCCATTTTTTTTAAATATAAACTATGGGTTCGCCTTTTCTGTAGTTATTGCAGATAAATTATCTGTAGTAAGCTTAATATAACGTCGTTTTGGGTGGAAATCATGGTGTTTTTGTAATTTTAATTTATTTCAGTGTTATTATAATCTTTATAATTATAATTATTTAATTTTTCAATCATGAATATTATTTTGGGAGTAAATACATATAACTTATCTGCATTAACTATTTATCTCTTTGTTTTGCATCATTGTAATCCTATCCAACACGAACTGAATTAATCAAATAATTGATGATTCAAAATAATTTTACATCTCTGTATGATTACTAATTTCATATATTATAAAAAAATTATCAATCACTTAATATTGTATTATTTTAATAAATATAATAATATAAAATTGCATATCATTAAATATGCATTCGTAATATTTCTCTATAATCTTTGTAAGAGAATAAATTATTAAATAACTCTTTTACATGTCATCAATTGTGCATTTATTAATAAAAAAGAGGCGGCAATGATCGAACTCATGATCATTTAGTCACGCTTGTTGTAACACTCCGTTCAAGAACCAGTTTGTTATTATTACATATGATATTAAGCGCAGTTACAATCATAGCAGTTGATTAAAACACTGATTAATTTTTCTCTTTTAAAAACATACTATTTTCTGATTAAAACACTTTACGTATTTATAAATAATTCAAACTATAATTAACTAATACAAATTGCGGAAATATCTAATATCGCTTAAATGTATCATACCACCATGAAGTTTCCATAAACAACATTCCTTCACATGGCAATGATTATAGTTAATCACACAAGGTGATAATCTCCTACCAACATCGCCCAAACAAAATGGACAGAGCTCTGTTTGTTTTTCAGACATCTAGGGATAATTCCCACATGATATGTCAACCTGATAAACAGTTCAATAAATACTGACATCATCTTAGTCTATCCAATAGGCGTACAAGCCTTTCCATCATAATTGTATCAAAATACATAAATGTCCACAGACTACATAAATGAGAAACTTAACTAATACAAAACAAATGATCAAAGTCCTTTACATGCATCAACAACTATGATCATAGGCTAAGTCCTTTCTCCATGCATCGACAATACAGAAGCTCAAATAAAACTACATAAACATATGATGCTACAGTGATCCAAAATAACATGCTATATGCAAGTCCATAATACAAAAAACATAAACTACAATAATAGTTATGTCAACAGCATGTCGTACAAGTCAATTTACTGTGGCTTCCTGCTAACAAACGCTCTAGCACCCTCAGTGCCTGTACCTGAAAGGTGGTCCCCGCAACACGGGGTCAAATAAACATCTCAATAAACTATGGGTTCTTGGAGAATTCCTCCACGCTAGAGTTCACTTGAAGTGTACAAGAAATAACAGTAAATAATACAATATATACATATCCATGCAGTATGTAAAACATCTTCATAAGACATCCCTTCGGCACCTCGCCATCCTATGGATTCTCAAATGTAAAGAGTCCTACTGGCCAGGGAATCTACCAAATATGAATTATGCATCGTCATTCAATATACAAGCATAGGGAAACACCATCCTATGCCACACTTAGTGCATGCACATACATATATCAATGCTTTGAACTACTTTATTGTAATTACATACACCAACAATAACAATTACCCCATTAGGGCTTGATGGAAAAATAAAGAGATAAATCCCAAGGTCTGAAGGCTTACCTGTTTCCAACCAACCTTTATCTCACCACCAAGTATGCAAACAATCAAACTTTTCTCAAAGACACAACCTCACAAAATAAACACCTACACAAAGGTGCAATGACATCAATCATAAGCATTTACGAATATATCAATATTCATTAATCACATAGGCAATTCAAACAACACTTGGTATGAACTCACCTATACTTGAATAAGTCAAGTATCCAAATCAAGATCCATTGATTCCACCAATGGTTGATCAATCAAAGAAGTTCCACAAGGCTCAATTCTAGATTCAAGTGAACACATCAAAATTAATATCAAACACTCCAACCAATCACATTACTTGGAATGCAAGAAATCAAACTACATAGGCATAATTTTTGAAATTTAATGAAGGTGGGCAAAATGATCTTCCAAATACATTTTCATCATCTAAACACTTTTCTCCAAAGGACCTAAGCCCCAATCATGCTCAAACTATCCACATTCAAGTCATATATTCATAAACTCCACCTAAAACACCCATTATCATAGAAGCTCATAAAATGCTAATTTCTTAATATGAACTCACCTAGAATCATGCAACGAAGGTTCTCCAACCCTCACTTCAAGCAATGGACCGCTCCAAGACACCCAATCAACAATGGGTCGCCACTTTTTCCTTCATTTTTCTCTTAATACAAGGCTTTTTAATGGAAAGTGGATTATAGGTTATGTTCTCTTCACAATTCTAAGCAACTTTGATCTTTACTTCACTTGATTTTATTGAGAAATAAGGAAGTTGCAAATCAAAGCTTTTCACCAATGGCTTCGAGTTCCCTCTTCTGTTCCACGAAGAAGATGATACAATTGTGAAGTGTTTCTAAGTAATAATACTTAACCTTAGATAAATAACTTTCAAATAGGTAAAAACTTAGGGAAAACATTTTCTCTTTTTAAAGGAGAAATTTTTTCTCATGTTAGAGACTCAAAGCATATGTGGGTCCCACCTTTAATTTTTTTCTCTTTCCACTATTTTGTGGGACCCACTTATATAATGTGTCACTAACATGAGAAAAATTTTCTCCTTTAAAAGGAGAAAATGTTTTCCCAAAAACTTATCTATATCGTTATCTTAACTTTCTTCTAAACTGGTTGTATTGGCTTAAAATATTTTTACAATAATATTTCTCAACTTATTTTTAAGTTTCGGATAATTTTACCTACACATATGATATTAAGCCTAAAACTATCATTAATTGCACTTTTTGCCCAAAAGTGACTTTCACCCATTTAATTAATTTTTTTATTTAATTAAACTCAACAATGCATGATTAATTCTTTAATCACATACAATTTTATAATTACACATATTAGAGTTATTATACGTGCTCTGATACTAGAACCAATTTAACTCAAAACCTTAAGATTATAGATGAAGCTATATTAATGAATTTATGTTTGCCTGACAAGAGATAGGATAGTTGAGTACACTTAGTTTTTGGTGTTAAAGAATGTGTGTTGTGACTTGTGAATACATTGTGGCTTGTTGCCTCGTTGCCAAATGAGAAGGTAACAAAATGCTGTAAAATAAGTAGGATTGTTTGTTTAATGGCAGTACCTTGCATGAAAAAAATAAAGAATGCAAAGGGAGCTGGTCTCTTTCTCTTCCATTACTGAAATTTAATTAGCTAGATTGAAATCAAGCCAAAGGTTTCTTTACTATTTATGTCATTTCTCCTTCTGAATTGTAGACTTTACTCCATTTTCCTTTATTTAGTGAACAATTTGTCAACAATGGGTGCTCTGAGAATGTTTAATGGCAAAAGAAGCTCTGGAGCAGCGTGAACATGCAAACCTCACGTGGCTTGAATCTCTGATTCGGGTATCTCCTGGTATTGAAAATTCCATACTGAATATAGAATTATATTTTTGAATTTGAACCTAAAACTTTGACAGCTTCCCAATTACTTTGATAACTAAACTTATATACTAGCTAGAGCAAAGATATTATCTTGACTTATTTTTTTGAAACCCTTTTACTAATAAATTATAGGATGTCACCACCATTATATACACCAAACATATAGTCCAAGTTATCTTATATGACACCACAAATTCGAGGCACATGGCATTGGAAAAACCAGCTTAATCGTCTCATTAAACAAATGTCCAAAAGAGGTGCCAACCTAGAAAGAGCCAACCCTATCCGGTCATAGATTTTCTTAGTCCCTACTTAAAGCTTTAGGCTTGAGATAACTTTCATCCCCCTCACAGATCAGCAAAGGATATTTTGAGAAGTGTTCTGCTTTTTGGTATTTATGGCAGAGGAAAAACAAGGACAAGGAACTAATCCTCCTCAAGAGCAACCTAATGAGCCCTTGCCAAGTGAGTGTTAATTTTATTCTTTCCTAATATTCAATGCAAAGCCAAATTAATTCACCAAGTGGTATCAAAATATGTGGTTGCAGGGTCTTACAACCAGCTTCTGGGGACAAATAATCCTACAAAAACAAGTTGGCCTGAGCTAGTTGGGGTCACTGAAGAAGAAGCAGAGAAAAAGATAAAGGAGGAGATGGCTGGGGTTGAAATTCAAGTGGTTCTGCCTGGTTATTTTGTCACCTGTGATTACAAAACCCAGCGAGTTCGATTGTATGTTGATGAATCTAAAAAGGTCCTCAGGACTCCGAAGATTGGCTAATCCGTCTACCAAATATCATTTAATAATTCAGTGAAATATCTTCATGTTACTTGGCCATTGCAATAGCAGGATATTATATTATGGTTTGACCGGAACCTTGGCCTAGATTATGTTCTATATAAATCAATAAGAAGGGTTCTAGTGGGATATTTGTTCCATCTGCCTGTATATTGTAAATTTTTTTCTACCTTTCTGCTTAAGAAAAATTCAGGTTGTTTGGTTCCCATAGGATGATGTTCCCCATTATAGCCTTAAAGTCACATATGATTGCTCTTATTTGTTTGGGACAGTTGGATACGAGTCAAATGCTCAGTTATATAACATAAATATCACACTTGTGCTCAACTTTAGGATTTATGTTTGTCTTGTTATCTCTTATCCCCTATTTTATCCTATGGAAATTGATAACGTCTGTAGTTTTAACTTTAAAATCAAAATGCAGCTATGCTCATCATCAAGAAAATTTTTAATTGAAATGTGGCTGGAATTTACTTTTCAAAGCCTGATTAATAAATATTTTTATTAGCATATATTTTATATTTATAATTTTCTTTCTGTTGTAACTACTTCTAGGATGTGCTGATGTGTAATTCTGTTATTTTTGGACTGATGGTGCTAATATGCATGCACCATTCCGTTACGCTCCCATTAGCTTTTCTTTTTATTGCAACTTGTAATCTTCATTCTTGGCATGTAATGGAATATACAGATTTCCCATTCCTTGTGTTTTTCTTCTGTCTGTTATCCACAACTAATATGGTATCAGAGACTCCCCTTAATCTCGAGCCATCTTCCATGGCTCGTGGTAACAACACAAATCGACCACCACCAACTGATAACTCCTCTGGTTCTTCTTCTTCTTCTATGGACGATTCATCAAGTCCCTATTTTTTGCACAATGGACATCATCCTGGCCTTGTATTGGTTTCTCATCAATTGACTGGTTCCAACTTCAGCTCTTGGAATCGTGCAATGCTCTTTGCTTTGATCGCGAAGAATAAATTGGTATTTGTTGATGGCACCATTCTTCGTCCTCCCACAACTGATATTTTGTTTTCTTCATGGAACCGATGCAATTCCATGGTTATATCCTGGATATTAAATTATGTTACCAAAGAAATTGCCGATAGTCATCTCTATTTTTCCACTGGATATAAAGTTTGGTCAGATTTGAAGACACGGTACTCTCAGGCAAATGGCCCACGCATTTTCCAGCTCAAACAACGCATCTCCTCCTTATCTCAAGGTTCTCTTGACGTCAATGCTTACTACACTAAATTGAAATCGCTATGGGACAAATTACAAGATTATCTCCCTCTTCCTTCTTGCACCTGTGGTGCTCTCCGTGAAATGTACTGGCAGGGAACAAGATCATGTCATACAATTCCTTATAGGACTCAATGAGACTTTCTCGTTTGTCCGTGCACATATCCTCTTGCTTGATCCTCTACCCTCCCTTGCGAAAGTCTTCTCCATGGTTTTGCAAGAAGAGCGACAACGTCAACTTTCGGTGGCTTTGCCTTCTCCTGTCATTCCTGATACACCCCTTCTTAATTCCGTTGCTTCCTCTCCGCCCCATCCACAAATGGTGGCCGTCGTTTAATGTCGCCCCAAACCCATTTGCACCTTCTGCAACCTTGCTGGTCACACACGTAACAAGTGCTTCAAGTTACATGGGTACCCGCCTAGGTCCAAGCCTAGGGTCCCTAAGCCCAACCTAACACAGCATCAGGCCCAAGCCCACTCAGTTCAATCCATGCCTTTCAGCCCTTTCCCGAAATTTCCCAATCAGTTTTACACACCGAACCCTAATCCCCTTTCACCTGAAGCTCCTCTTGCTTTCACACCAACCCAATACAACCAATTGCTTGTGCTGATACAACAGAACTCTACATCATCTTCTTCAATATCTGCTCCCTCCGTCGTTGACTTATCTCCTTCGATTGCAAATTTTAATGGTAAGTCCTCCATTGTTCTTCCCCTTCTTGTTGGGTTTTAGACATAGGTGCAACGCACCATGTTTCTTCTTCGATCAAACTTTTTTTTTTCTTCTTCTTCTTCTACGTCGGTGGTTTCTCTTCTTGATGGGTCCTCTGCTATGGTTACCGCTGTGGGTTCGGTTCCTATATCTGATTTTTTAACCGTTCAAAATGTCTTATGTGTCCCATCTTTTTTCTTTAACCTCCTCTCTATCAGCGCTCTTACACGTGATTCACCCATCCTTGCTTTTTTTCCTGACACTTCTTGTTTTCTTCAGGACCATGCTTCAGAAAAGACGATTGGGATTGCTAGAAGACACGGAGACCTTTACATCCTCGATATTACAAATTTTTTCCCTGCAGATAATGTTCCCCATCCCCTCTATTTTTCCTTGACTGTAAAAGATCCCTATCTGTTGCATTCCAGAATGAGGCATCTTTCTATTTCTGTTTTAAATTCAATGAAATGTTTGCTAAGTTTTTCTGAAAACTTTTCTAATGAGCATCATTATTCTGTTTGTCCAATTGCAAAACAAAAATGTATTCCTTTTATTTTAAATCCCAAATAGTTTTCCTCCCCTTTTGATCTTATACACGGTGATATATGGGGCCTATTTCACACAATTTCTGTAGAAGGCTCTCGTTACTTTCTTACCATTATAGATGATGCTTCTAGATTCACATGGATTTATTTTTTACATAAAAAATCTGATTTCAGTTCTGTTTTTCCTTCACTCAATAATTTTATTCATACTCAATACTTTTTACCTATTAAATCTGTACATTGTGATAATGCACCTGAGTTCCAGTTGTCAAATTTTTTTCTCAACTAAAGGTATTCAAATTTTCCATTCCTGTGTTGATCGACCACAACAGAATGTTGTTGTAGAGCGCAAGCACCAACATCTCCTTAATGTGGCACGCGCCCTCCATTTTAAATCCCACATCCCTTTGCAATATTGGCAAGATTGCATTTTTACTGCCGCTTATCTCATTAATCGCACCCCATCTCCCCTACTTTCTTCTAAAACTCCTTTTGAGCTTCTTTTCCATAAATCTCCAACCTATGACCATCTTCGAAATTTTTGCTGCCTTTGCTATAACTCCACACTTCCCAAGAACCGCCATAAGTTCCCCCCTAGGGCCTTACCTATTGTTTTCTTAGGGTACCCACTTGGTTTTAAAGGATATAAGCTTTTGGATTTACAATCCAATCGCACATTCATTTCACGTGATATGGTGTTTTTTGAACTCTAAAACTCATTTTGCTTTAAACTCTTCCTCATCTGCTGTTCATACAGAATTTTCCCATTTGCCCACTCCTTCTTCTTTATCTGATCCCTCTGTAGAACAACCTTTTTCTCCTGGCCCACTTATTTCTTCGCGTCCATCACATACTCATCATCCACCCTCACACTTTAATGATTATATTTGTTCTTTATCCAGCTTTCATCCCCTATCCAATTGCCTCTCTTACCATCGTTTGTCTCCCTCTTATGCTGCTTTCATTAATTCTGTTTCCTCCTATTATGAACCTACTTCATTTTCTGCTGCCTCTCAATTACCGGAATGGCAAACCACCATGAAAGTTGAGATTTCAGCACATGAACTTAACAAGACTTGGTCCATTGTTTCCCTTCCACTTGGCAAGCAAGCTGTAGGCTGCCGTTGGGTCTACAAAGTTAAGTATAAATCAGATGGTTCCCTTAAAAGGCATAAGGCTCGTTTAGTGGCCAAGGGGTTTACTCAACATGAGGGTATTGACTTCTTAGAGACCTTCTCCCCAGTTTCCAAGCTCACCACTATTCGTGTTCTTCTTGCACTTACTACTATCAACAACTGGTCTCTTGTTCAGCTCGACGTCAATAATGCTTTTTTCCATGGGGAACTTCTTGAGGAAGTTTACATGCATCTGCCTCCTGGGTACTCTTCTACTCAGTCTTCTCTACCTCCTAATGTTGTTTGCCGACTGCATAAGTCACTGTATGGTCTTAGGCAAGCCTCAAGACAATGGTTTGCTAAATTTTCTACCACCATGATCTCACTTGGTTTTATTCAATCACAATCTGACCATTCATTGTTTGTGCGTTCCTTTGGTTAATGTTTCATTGTTGTTTTAGTATATGTTGATGATATTATCATTGTTTCTAACAATACTAATGAAGTGCAGCTCCTTACTGATCAACTTCACAATAAATTTTGTTTAAAAAATCTGGGATCCTTAAAATATTTCCTTGGGCTTGAGGTTGCTCGTTCTACCAAAGGTATTTCTGTTTGCCAGAGGCATTATGCATTGCAAATTCTTAAGGATTCTGGTCTTTATGGTTGCAAGCCACGCACCACTCCCTTTGAAGCTGGACTTAAACTTTCTGCATCTGATGGAGATATCATCCCGGATCCTTTAGTGTATCGTCGGTTAATAGCACGTTTACTCTACTTGACAATTACAAGGCCTGCTATTTGTTACAGTGTTAATTTTTTCAGCCAATTCATGGCATCTCCTCGTGTTCCACATCTTCAGGATGCTCATAAGCTATATCAAACATACAGTTGGTCAAAGCATTTTCTTATCCTCATCTTCTGCTATACAACTTAATGCATTTTGTGATTCTGATTGGGCTTCTTGTGTTGATAGCCGTCGTTCCATTTCTGGGTTTTGTATTTTTATTGGAGACTCTATTATATCTTGGAAGTCTAAGAAACAAGGAACTGTTTCCAGTTCATCCACTGAAGCTGAATATAGGTCTATGGCTCATACTACATGTGAATTACTTTGGTTGTTCTCTCTGTTCAAAGATCTTCAAGTTTTACATCCAACTCCTACTCATCTGTTTTGTGATAATCAGTCTGCACTCCATATTGATGCCAATCTCATTTTTCATGAACGCACAAAGCATATAGAAATCGACTGTCATCTCGTTCGTGAGCACATTATTAAAGGCACTTTGAAGACCTTCCCTGTTCTTTCATCAAAAAACTTGCGGATCTTTTTACTAAACCTTTGCTTCCTTCAAAGTTTTCAGCTCTTGTATCCAAGATGGAAGTTCTGAATATCCACCCTCCAACTTGAGGGGGGCAATTAACATATATTTTATATTTTATAATTTTCTTTTTGTTGTAACTACTTCTAGAATGTGCTGATGTGTAATTCTTTTATTTTTGGACTGATGGTGCTAATATGCATGCACCATTATGTTACGCTCCCTTTAGCTTTTCTTTTTATTGCAACTTGTAATCGTCATTCTTAGCATGTAATGGAATATACAGATTTCCCATTCCTTGTGTTTTTCTTCTGTCTGTTATCCACAACTAATAATTTTTAAAGCAGTTCATCATCACATCTAATAACGAATATTGATTTCACGCTTTCTTG